TATTTAATCTGAATTGTGGATGTTTGGACATCAAACAACATTTATCAAGTTTATGGTCGTGAAGTTTAACCCGCTGAGAATCCGCACCTCTACTTCATTCAAGGACATTTTTCTGTTTGTAGGATCTTGACGGAGTGCCAACAGCACCGCAGTAGCGCGATAGAAACTTGTCGTCATCTGTTGAACTCGTACCATGTCTGTCGTGCACTCCATGCTTTCGACTCAGAGCAGTAAGCAGCGTAAGGTGGTGCTGAGGCTGCTAGCGGCGACAGCGTCCTCGGACAGCAGCCTATCCAAGGAGCTGCTCATCCATTTGTCGCTGCAGCAGCAAACGTTAGTGAGCCTAATGCAACACACCAAGCCCACGGATTCTCAAAGTATTCGAACGCTTCATTCACTTTGTTCTTGCTTTCCTCGTGGAGAGGAACACGCTGGTGATCAGAACGCTCTTGAACAAGCGTAATATGCTCTGCTGCATCTTCTCAGATTTGCTGTACGACTCGAAAGAAGTCGTCACCTTGCGGTTTTCACCACTGTGAAGACGTACGTGCTGGAGAATACTGGCGTAAGTAAAACGACAAAGATGCACGTATTTTCCATACCTGCTGTATTGAATCTGATATCGTTGTACAACTGGAAAGGCCCAAACAACTGGCCCAAAAACAAAACTCACACTTTCGATGAAAGCGAGAACTTTCGAGCGGACAAAGAGGTAATTGTCACTATCTCTTTATTATAAATTACGATGTTTATTCTAATAATTATAGTTATTATTTACAATATGACTTTATGTCAAGAATTAATTTAATTGCAATATCAGTCTTTTTATAACAAGAAGAATAAAAATGTATTTAATATTAAAATGTATACCAAGAACAATTTTACATATTGATTTATTGAAGTAATTCTGACATTCTGACAAAAGCAAATTAAAGTATATATTCTTTAATTGAGGAGCAATATTGTGAAAAATAAACTTTTTAATAATCTTTTACGATATTAATTCACGGCTATCGAGTTTCTTGTTATTACTTTTCTTCTTTATTCTTCCCGCTTAATTTAGGTCATTAGTGACATAGTTCATGAGTTCTTAATCACTTTGTTAACGTCACATCGTTATGGAGTTATTTTCCATGATCAAACATTGGGTGGTTCGCGAAATAAGCACAATCAACTGGTACATACAGTCCTTCAGAACTTGGAGAAGCCTTGGGAATATGAAAAGCCATCAGATCTGATTGTTAGGATAATGGGTGCCTGCACAGATCTTATTCGTTCGCAATATAATGCCATCGAACCGTTTCTTGAACCCAGAGTGTCACCCAAATGGAATTGTCTTCTCAAATTTATAGGGAAGGTGAGAGATGCTTCCAGGTGTGCTGCTAAATTGATTATTGTTTTGTGCACTGTCTTTTCAGTTTGACTTGTTACATGTTCTTTTCGGAGATAGTAAAATCAGTCAATCCAGTTAGTTGCATCAAAACTTGCGCTGTGGAACTGAAAGCGAAAAATTTGATAAGTGCATTACTTTCTCTGGCCAAGTCTCTGGCGGTTCCAAGCACGATTGTAAAAGTCGCTATCTTACCAGGATTAGATCACGATAGTCTTTCTGTTAAACACGAAGCTTTATCTCTTCTTCTAATAATTGCTAATCAGCTAAAAGCTATTTCTTTAGCTGCAAAAGAGTTCTATAAAACATTCATAGTTTAAAATCAAATAACGGATTTTATTCTAAGAACTATCCCCACCTTGGAAACTATCTTACGAATGTGGAACCGAGCTTTTGAAAATGACATTAACGTAAAGGTTTCAGAAAACGCAGAAAGCATTCAGGATCCAGAATTAGTGGATCATCCGATTGCATGGAGAATGTACCGCCGAATATCTCCGCGTACTGTCTCATCATACACGATCGCGTGATCGAGTACAATCCGTTGACCAACGTAGTGCGCAAAATAGTCTGAGTGTTCGCGGCAACGTCGACGAAAATTTTCTCTCTTTAACTCCCGATACAAATTTATGAGGGAACAAAGGGGAGCAGAATATAAAAATCAGAGTGTCGCGAAACGCGCGTCATTCCTCTCGATTCACGCATCGAAGAAAGAGAGATATCTCTTCATGCCCGCACCAACGTTCGTCGACCTGCAAGGTTTCGTCGTCGGGATGAAATTTGTCGTGAAGGAGGTGGCGGTGCTGAGAAAGGGGGCCGTTCTGGCGCATTACATCTTTACATGCCCCATGCCGTGGAATCTCCTCACAAAATCCGACAAATCGTGCGCTTCCTGGTTGATTCGCAATCACCATGGATTACGATGGGAAGACGGAAACGTGCCGTACAGCAAGGTGAAGCGTTTAATTACGTCGGCCGTGCTCGGTGAAGAAGAGGACGACAACGATGACGACAACGATGACGACGACGACGACGACGACGACGACGACGACGACGAGATGCCGACTCTCGTGTACGTCAAGGGATGTCAGAAACGAGAATGGCTGGTGGATCTGCTTGAAAATAAAGCGAGAAAAAACCTAAACATCGAGACTCTGGATGCGGATTACGAAGATATCGAATTTTTAAATATTCTAGATGCTACCAATAGTATGCGATGTGGAAAACACGTTAAGAATTGCGCGTTGCAAAATGTATTAAAAATATTTAACTGGTGGTCGAAACGCCAGAAAGAATTGTCATCTTTTTAAAAAATAAATTTTATATGTATGTATGTGTAAATTTTACAATGTTTTATTTCCTTTCCCCCATTAGTCGATAGTATACAAAATTAAAGAATAAGTAGGTATACGTGACGAATTCTAACTCGATAGCTTCGAGGGGGGGTATCAGGTTTCAGCGAACATGTCTGAACATGTTTCACGGTTGATGTCATGCGGAAGGGATAGGGGGAGGGGGGATACATCTTAATAAAAAAAAAAAACATCCTACCTTAGTCCTCTCTCCTAAATTTCAGAGCGCTGATTGGGCGTTCCAGAAACATTAATTTCCCCCTCCTTCATCATAGTTTTGGAAGTTGCCGCGTATATTCGATTAATTTTATACGACTAGTCTCGTATCGACTCCTTGTGCGAACGGTGTTCACTTCTCATATCCGAGAGAAAGAATGTATTCCGTTGAAGGAAGCAACGGCGGTAACAGCAGTGGCAGCTAGTAGACGTATGAATTATTACGTACCGATTCACGATGATGATGATGAAACTCCATCGTACGAGAACAAGTGTAACAAGTAAGTTTTTTCGTTTTTTTCTTAAAATTATAAAGTTTTATATTTTTTTAAATTGCAAATTATAAATTGTATTATTTTTTTATTACTAATTTCGTTATTTTTTACAGCATTTCGTTGAAGCGTCGCGCGGTTCGTATACTCAGCAGACGATACGCGTTGACGGCTACGGGATACAAATTCCTTGAAGTTGGCGTTAACGTGGGTCCACCGAGTTACGTGGAGATCGCCGTAGGAGATCATCGAGGAACGGAATTGATACTGTCACTCGAAACGTGGAAGGGATTCTACGAACAACGACGGAACATTTCATTCGATCCTCTAAAGATACGTGTGATTTTATAAGCATTGGACCGCTAACATTGAGAATTTGTACGATTAACGGTGTCAAACTCGTACGTCTCGAGTCTTTAAACGTACGCTTAACGATGATCGAATCGACGTTACACCGTATGCTCGATCTTGATCCGTGCATCGACGCGATGTTCCATCGATTGAATAGAATTGTCAAAACGGTCGATGTCAAGTTCACGCGCAATTCTCCAAAATCGCGTCTACTGTAACGAATCCTACGCAAGTATATTGAATGTAATACGCGATAGCGATGCCTTCGATAAACATCAGCTCGTCGATTGTGAGCTCGCAGCTTTATTTTTTAGTGCGCTATCGTAGTACGTAAAAAAACAAAAAATATGTAAAAGAAGAAGAATAAAAAAAATTTATTTTTAAAATATAAATCACGACTTAATTTCTTCACACGCATTTCCATTCGAGCCGTATATGCGACGTTCAACCATTCGATTGAAATTTAAGGTATATCATATATCGTAAACTATGAAGCCATGCTCCGGCGACGCTCGCTTATGTAGTGTTGATGCTCCAACGAATCCTTTCTCACTATTGTAATGCTAGATATATATTATCTTAATTACTTTTCTGAGCTCTGGTTCAGTCCTCTGCAGTCAGTTAAGTCAGTAGTGTGAAAACGTTCGCAAGCGCAAGTAGACTCGCACTGTGTAAGAATAAAGAAATGGACCGAGAAGAAGAGGAACGAGAAGAAATGGAACGAAGATATGACGTAATCGAACAATTCATACATATTGTGTACCCCGCAGTAGGAGTATGTATACTTAATACCGTTGCGTGCGTGTCGCCCGGTATGCTTTTCGAACTCCAAGCTGAAGCGTGCAGTTCGTCACGACGATCGTTTAAATCGTCGTTATTTTCGTGAGTGCGCGAGTGTGAATAAGTGTCTGAGAGAGTCACGGGGACTCACTGTCGTAACATTTTTTGAAAAAGCATACCGGGCGGCATGCACGCAACAATACATAATTGTATATTATATATTTTTTTAAAAAATTAACCATTCTCTGTTAACGCTACAGTGGATATGGGTCGACAACGTGCCGGTGCGCGAGGTCCGCCTTTATAATATGGTGAGGGTTCGGATCCCTCACAGACAGGTGTGTTTAATATCTTTTTCACAGATTTTAATTTTTTTTAAATTTTTTAAACTTTATTTAAATTTTTTTAAATTCTTTTCCAGGATTTGATATATCTTGATGAAATCCGAATTCGGGGATTTATCAATATTCATCATCAGCGTTTGGTACGCTTGTTTAGAAGAGTGGATTCCGAATATAACGAGGAAATCTGGGACGCTTTAGGAGACGAAGATATCTTCCAATTACGAAGATTATTCGATATGCAAAATGAGTTTGACGTTGAAGAGGAAGAGGTGCGGTAACTTTTTAAAAACTTTTTAAAGTTTTATGAATAAATATTTTTTATGCTTAATTCTATATATTATTTATTATTTATTTTTCCGCTTTCTTCACTATTATTAAGTATAATAATAATATTTTAAATAATAATAATTATTAAGTTAAATCCGCGCGAGAAAAAGAGAACGCCAACTAAAAGACGCGCGCGAACGGAGGAGAGACAAAGGAGGTTGGGAGCAAGAGAGAACATCAATGAGGAGAACGGGAGCGAGAGAGAGACCGCGCTGAGGGAAAGACAACGCGAATGAAACGCGGGCGAGCCGTGTGACGTCACGCGGACCGACGCGACGTGGCCGCTGGACGCGGACCCCCATCTTCTCGCGGCGCGCCGCCGATAAAATTCCAGCAGCCGAACGGCGCCCGTCGCCTTTGTAATACCCCGCGCCGATAAAATGACGACCTCCCCTCCCCCCCCGGATCACCCTCGGCGTAGAACGCGGACACCCCCCCCCTTGGCGGTACCCTTGTCAACGATATGTTTATTAACATTTAATAAACATGTCCCGACATGCTCGCCGGCCAACCCTCCCTTCCCGCGGACCACCCGCGCCATCGAGTCCTACCCCCTCCCCGCGGACACCCTCGCCCTCAAGTTTTCCCGCCCCGCTCCCTCCTCGCCAGCGGTACCCCCCGCCCCGCTCCCCCTTGTCCGCGGTACCCCCCCGCCCCGCTCCCCCCTTGGAGCTCCCGGGGTAGATCTCTCAAAATAACTCCTACTCATAATAAAAATTGGATGAATTAAAATTATGTCTTGACATAATAAAA